CAGGGCTTAGTGACGTGCTGGACGCAGGGCTTAGTGACGTGCTGGACGCAGGGCTTAGTGACGTGCTGGACGCAGGGCTTAGTGACGTGCTGGACGCAGGGCTTAGTGACGTGCTGGACGCAGGGCTTAGTGACGTGCTGGACGCAGGGCTTAGTGACGCGCTGGACACAGGACCCACCTGAGAGTGACCCTGCAGAGCCCACCATAGATGCTGCACAGCCCATCTGAGACTGTCTGTGGTGGGCTCTGAAGGGGTCTCAGGTGGGCTGGTCAGGGCTGCATCCCTCCCCTCCCTCCTTTCCTTCCTTCCTTCCTAGCTCCTCTTACCTGCACACATGGCTTCGTCTTCCGCCGGACCAGCCAGAAGTGACGTCCCATCACTAACGTGACATCACTTCCGGCCAGTCCGACATCAGACGAGCAGCGTCGCTGATGGGGCCCTAGCTTGTCTCAAAGCCGCTGCAGCGGCAATGGTGGGGCCCTGCGCTGCTAGGGCCAGGCCTCCTCGCCTTTCACCGTCGGCCGATAGTCATGTAAGGGACCCGGGCGGGCCCCCCAGGCTGCCCGGGCCCCTTACATGGGTATCGGCCGTACCCCCCTGATGGCTGCCCTGCGTGTTGCACACCAGACTGGAATCCACTGTAGTATGTAGAAGAGTGCTGGATGACGTGCGGTTGGCGCTGCGCACATTCAAATGTAGAGGAGATAGTTACCCGCACACCAAGGTCATGTGATGCCATGTGTATCAAGAAAAGGACGTATTGATGCATTGGATCTTGGTGTGCGGGTGACCAGGGGCGTCCCGAGGTCAGGTGTTATCTGATGTTGCCTTGGTGATGGACGCTGGAAGAGAGAGGAGTGGACCTTAACACAGCGGGATGAGGTATGCTGGCGGGTCCCCTCCTCTCTCCTGACACTGTTAGGCTCTCATGCATGACTGAGTGCCCAACTTTTTAGAGGGGGGTGACACCAAAATGACTGGCAGTCATTTTGGTGTCACACCTGCAATGGTGACACCCGGTTGCGGGACGAACCCGCTGCACCCCCTTGTGACGCCACTGCGGGTGACTATCTCCTCTTAATTGATTTGAAGCCACAAATATGTAAGGAACAATACTATTGTTTATAAAAATACTTTTTATAAACAATTTGCAGGGCAATTCGCCCTGTGAATCTCTGTGAACATTCGTTTAGTGTGAATAGAGTAAACAAAATGTTCTTAGTATATTTTCTTTTCAGGTAGAAAGTAATGTAGTACTGCATTATGGACACTAGAGCTGAGGAGCTGAGTAAATAGATATTTATTTCCTATGCTCCACAACTCCATCTACTGGCCATAATGTGTGATTATATTATATTACATTCTACCTGAAAATAAAATATACTAAGAATGTTTGTTTTGCCTCTATTCAGACTAAACAAATGATCACAGAGATTTGTAGGGTGAATAGCTGCGCAATGTGTTTATAAATAGACCGCTTTGTTACCAGCAGCAGGTGTGTTGAGTGCAGCCATATTCACATAAAATAAAATATATATCATAAAGCACACCACACATTTCATCTTGGGCCCAATTGTTTTAGCCAGGCATCTATTTACTCTGCACAGCCCATCTTGTATATTTTAGCAGCATATTGTGCTGCTTGTGTGCATTAAAATTAATTTGAATGCATGTTTTACTAAAAATGTGATAACATGTTGTGCTAAAATTGTGTGACGTAAATAAAGCAACTACCACCCTTTTATTCTCAAGGGTCACTGCTTTCAGAAATTATATACATGAGGGCTTTAAGCAAATTTCACCCTCTGTCACTTTTTTTGTTGTTGTCTGTGTTCCTGTTGGGTAGATTCACCTTTCTATTTGTCCTGTGACCATTGTTACCAAGACAGAAAGTTAAGTGGAAATCCAAAATATTGAGTTGTCACTAGCACAAGAGGTGAACAGAAATCATTCAGTGGGGACAAACTAATAGTGAAATTCCCCACACTTTCAGGAGATTTTCTCTTATTTCTTTTGCATCTCCAGGACAGGAAGTGAAGGGAAATATCCCTAATGGGACACAGACAGCAAAAAAAATAAAAAAAAATACAGAGGGTCTAACACTTCCCCCACTCCATCTGAAACCAAAAAGCAAAAAAAATGACTTTACATACACTTTAAAAGGCATTGTATCATGGACAGTGATTACATAAAGCTCAAGTTTACTGAGCTAAATATCCATTAGTGTATACTTTGTGCACATGCCAGTGAACAATTTGAAAATGAAAGTGCAAATGTGCCCAGACTATAGACTCACCCTTTCGCTGCCAGAGACATTTTTGTATTTTTTTTGCACATATGTTAATATGCACATCTTAACATATGTACAAAACAAAAACAACCAAAAAACTTAACAGGGCTTTTAGCCTTTCCCACTCCACTAGTTTTGGCTTCACATAGACTATAGCACAGGGGTGGGAAACCTTGGCACTCTAGCTGTGGTAGAACTACAAATTCCATGACACATTGCAAGACTCTGACAGCCACAGCCATGACTCAGAGAGGCATGGCTGTGGCTGTCGCCCAAATACTCGGTATCTGCACAGATACAAGTATCGGTATCGGTGCATCCCTACTGTAAATATCACAAAGGTAAATGGGTCTTTGTCAGAAGTTCCAACATTTTTTTGCTGAGCAAGTTGATGATAAAATGAAAGTAACATGCACAGTGCTTTCTGGCAAAATCAGCTAAGGCTTGTTCGAGATGGTGCCTAGCTTTAAAAGGGAACTAGCTATCAGAGATATCAAGATTAGTCACTACTTCAGTGAAGTCAGTGGAAAAGTTGAATATTTTAGGTTAAACTATAGCACTTGTAGTTAACTTTCATAGCCCAAGATCACAGCTCCTTCACAGAAGCACTAGACAGAATAGCGGGTGCACACCGGACGAGCCCATCTAGCTCCAGCATCAGCACTTGCAGCATATAGCACTTGCAGTGATGGCTGGATAGATTTAAAATGTATGTACAACCAACATTTATTATTTAGTAATGTCTATTGTAGGAAATGGTTAACAGCCCTATTAGATTTTTGTTGTCTGTGTCCCATTGGGGAGATTTACCTTCACTTCCTTTTCCAGAAACACAGCAGGAGATGTCTCCAAAGTGAGGGGATTTTGACTCTTAGACAGTTGTCACCAGAAAACATTTACCCATTGGAAGATTTGCCTTCACCTCCTGTTCCCATAAAACCTCAAAAATTTGGATTTGCCACCACTGTCTGTACTTGGGACTATGTTCCCCAGGACAAAGAGAGAGAGGGTGAACCTCGCCATTGAGAACATACCCAGCACTAGAAACTTGACAGGGGTTCTAACCTCTCAAAATTGAATCCATAACCTAAAAAAAGCATATCATGCATCTCTTTAAATATATCTGTACGGCCCACAGAGTGGTTACATATTCTGTAGGATGGTGATTTTCATGCCAGGGAAAACAAGTACTGAAAGAGGAACACAAAAAGTCTCAATGCAAACAATACTTTTATCTAACGTAGCTATTGAACTGTGCTTCTCGGACAGTGGATTATGACATTTTATAGATCACGAGTGCCCAGGCATCACACAACAACACATCTTTCCTTTCAGAACAAAATGAAAACAAGTGACTGCATTACTGGTGGTTAACCACATTTTTCCTTTGGCCGCTTAGTTGGAGAAAAAGCTAAGTAAGCTGTTCTGAGACGGAACTAAGCATTAAGCCATTTAGTCAACGGCTACATTTTTATGTCACCAGCAGAAACATCAGCTACTTCTCTGATGACAAGCCTTGACATGGTTCCTCTATTCTAAGAGATAATGGACATATGACATGCAAACATGTTCAGTAGATAAAAGTTATGTAGAATTCAAAATATGATCAGAGTTTTTGAAGTAAAAGAAACCCAACTGCTGTCCCATAACATTTACAAATTGGCCCACAAGGATAAAACTTGTAAATAAGCCAAATGGCAGCATGCCTCTTATTGTCAATGTAAAACATTAGAAACAAGTCAACACCAACACTCAAATTGTTCAAAAAGTTGTTTGTGAGCTATTGTGCTAAAAGAGGTTATATTGTGAAAATGTAAGCAGTAATAGCACAATTATTAGACTACAGGCTCAACTTTTCTCTTTGTCGGCCCTTATTTTCTTACTATCCAGGGAAAATTGAAAAAAAACTCCATCTCTCCCACCCAGCTCCCACCTACTCATAATTTCTTTTTGCATTAAAACAAAACTTTTTAAGCCTTTTTTAACTTACCTGAATCTGTCATCACTTGATTCTGTGCATCTTCCAGTAGTGAAGACTGGTGATCCACCACTGCAGTCCAGGTGTGCCGCTGACCAGTGTTGATCTCACCCCTTGTCATAATGTAACCACGCCACTGCTGCATTCCTCAAGTGTCTATGAGGACCCCACTAAAAGACCCAATATGAAGTGTCCACACACCCAAAGAAGCACGCTCCAAGTGAAGGAGCAAGAAGACGTGGACCAGGCATGACATGTGACTTCAGACTTGGGTCAGTATTTGCAGAATTTAAATAAGACTCTTTTTTTAAATGAATGGGGTAATTAGTCAGACAGGGGTGGTATAACTACCCTGGCCAGATCTAAGCTTTAGAGGCTTAATTCATAAAGGTGCACAGAATGCTTATTTAATCTGCTTCAAAAGTAGTAGTGTTTTACCACTACTAGTGCTATTATAACACTTAAGGGCTGAGCCTGATATATAAAACTTTGGCAAGCATGCCCACAGAGTCAGCAGTAATTGCATTGAGAAGGTATAGTCAAATTGCAGGATCTAAAAGCCATAAATGTAATAGTGAACTCATCTTAACAAAGTGCTAGAAAATGCTTATCAGCAACCTTTTGTCTTTTATTTTTTGTGATAATATGGATGTGTTTTTATGACCCATTTATATATATACTGTTCCAAAATAGAAAGCATATGTGTATTTAAAAAAAAACATGACACTTACTGGACTTCCATAGACTTTCCATGCATGCTTTATCACATAACCCAGAAGAACTCCATTCATAGCACTGAGTGAAGGCTGACTCCAGTTGACTTGTAATGAATGTGATCCATTTAGTACCACGGTGATGTTCTCGGGAGCAACAGATGGCGCTAAAAAGAATCAATCTCATTACTTTTCGATGTTAGCTTTAACAGATTTTATTTAACTGAATGCAGAATTTTTTTTTATATACGTCCTGCCTAATAACATATATTACATGACATAATATCACATATCATAGAATTCAAACTTAGATAGTAGAATGGGTTAAGCATATGCAAATAACTCCACCTGAGTTTTTTTCTTCCTTCTGAACAAGGTAAAGAACATAATGGAAATATAGTGTAGTTGAGCATAGTAGGATTAAGATTCTCAGAGATTCTTTACAACCACCTTTTACTGATTTTTTTATCTGTATGTCCGACCTCCTCCTGTTATACATTTCGGTACTTAAAAATAAATTCCAAAAGCTTAATTTTCTTTTGCAGGTATATATGGCACAGTAAGGCCTTATTCACACTGCTAAGAGCCGCCCCGTACAGATCGGTGGGGAGTGCACAGCCGTATCGGGCCGCTCCCGGTAAGAACAGGTGCTGCGTGTGATTGTTCGCAGCAGCCTGTTCTTCTCTGCGGGAGTACGCCGCCGTGCGTTGCCATACGCTCACCCGAACTGCACATCTGTGCGGGTGTCCGTGCTCGGACGCAGACAGGATGCATCCTGTCTGCGTCCGAGTACGACACCCGCACGGATGTGCAGCTCGGGTGAGCATACGGCAGTGTTCTTCTCCCATAGAGAAGAACGGGCTGTTGCGTACAATCACACGCAGCACCTGTCCTTCCCGGGAGCAACCCGGCACAGCCGTGCACGCCGCACGGATTTGTACTGGCTGGCTCTTAGCAGTGTGACTGAGGCCTAAGTCTCTCGAGCATTTGATACCATTTCAGTAATACCAGGCTGTCCTCTATGTTATGGAGATGATGAAAGAAGAGGTGTCCTGTAGTCCTAACATGCTTCCTGTCTTAGGGTCACAATACTGCTCCTCCACAGAGTGCTATAACAGTAGGAGTTTAGGAGCATGCTGAGGTTGCAGACCACTTTCTGGACTTGCCTCTGGATGTCAGGTCTGCTCCTTTGCCTCGTGTACTGTGTGCCTTTGATGGAGATTTTTGTCTTTTGACCTTTGGCTTAACTGATTCCATAGTTATTTCTCTTTCAATTTCTGATCTAGTTCTGACTTTGAGCTTTCTTATGTCCTTCTGACTCATGGTTCCCAAGAAGTCTATAGTTCTGTTTCTTTTTCTTGCTTTTAGTAGAGTTCTGTTAATCTGATACTGAAGAGAAAATTTCGCCATTGTGTTACTGCACCACCAATCTCTTTTATCACTGCAGGATGCAGGAAATATGGCACAGTTATTTTGTTTCATTTGGAATTCTTGAATTAATCATATTTACTGTATTATGGGAGTAATCACACTAAAGACAAAATCTACAGCAATGTGGGGAAGTTTAGGAAAGGGACCAAGGAATAGACAAAGGAGAAGATACACGGAGTCAACTGACTTGATTGCAACACTCGCTGGCTGCAGAAGGTGGTTATAAAATATTATTACACAATATTTCATATTTAGCTGACTAAACAATGTATAAATTGTGAGGCACTGGCTAGCGGTATGGTGACCTAGGTTTTTACCTACACATGGTGAGGGGCTCCAGGGTTTATGGCTGATGTGGAGAACTGTTTGTTTTCTCAGAATCCCAATAAGTTCTGGTCTGGATCCCACAGGCTTCATGGAGCTTTGGAGGGGGTTAAAGCCTCCAGTACCAGGTCAACATCTTACCTGGTAGCCAGACTTCATTAATATACTAGCCATACATGGCTTGAATTTCAGCTGATTCCGGCTGAATTAGTCAAATTTGAAATCATAGGTGGTCTTGTTGGCACCACACATCTCTACAAACTTCAGTTAGAAAATTGAAGACGCTGAGTGGAAAAAAAAAATGCCATCACTGTTTGGTATTCAGACAGGTTTAGCATGGATGGGGGGATTGAGTGATTTCTCATGGCCTCACGGCTCAACAAGCTCTGTATGGCTAGCTTAAGTTTCAGCTTTCCACGGGCTTTTATATTTGTGTGTTGACTAATACTTAGGACTCTATATCTCTCTTGCTCTCTGCTGTGAGTGCTTGCTGCTGGGTAAAAAGGCTAACTGCTGACAAAACACTAAAAAAGGTACAAGTGCTGCCGGTCTGTTTTGGGGAAACCATTACCATTAGTTTGCTCAGTTCCATAGCTTACAATTGCATTATATTTCAAAGCACAATTTGCTACCAGTAAGAGCCTGTTTCAAAGGACTTTTGGCTTGTGTCAATGGGCAAACACAGCTTGCTTTTGACATCAGTTTAACCAATTGCTGACCGCGGTGTTAAACCCCCTTCCCATTCAGGCCATTTTTCAGTATTCAGCGCTGCAGTACTTTGACTGACATTTATTCCGTCATGCAACACTGTACTGAAATACATTTTATACCATTTTTTAGGGACAGATTGAACTGTCTTTTGGTGGTATTTAATCACCACTGCGGTTTTTATTTTTTACTATATTAAGGAAAAATTACCGAAATTAAAAAAATAAAATAATTTCCCCTATATTAAATGATAAAACATTTATTATTACCCAATTTTTTGTTAAAATATAAAAGACGGGGTCACGTCGGGTAAAAAGACACCAAACATGTCAAGCGTTAAAATTGCGTGCGCGCGCTAAACCTCAATAAACGATAATACCCAAAATTGGTCATAGGCAACGCCATAAAACCTTTTAACGCTCATCAGTTTAGTGTTATCAGTGATTGATGGCCCTAAAATGATTGCTCTCACTGCGGCGTTCGCGGCAATATGTAACGTGTGTAGCGCAATTGTCGTTTTTGCGCGCTGGTGCACCAGGCGCGTATTTACGTTTATATGTGTGTAAACGTGGGGATGGTGGCCTTAAACATTTTTTTTTTTATATAGGACTTTTATTCTTTTTACTTTTTTCTATTTATATATTTTTTTGCACTTATTGTTATTGCTATTACATAGGGGGATAACAATCCCCCTAAATAATAGCACAGGTACACTGACAGGTCCTCTTTATGGAGACATTAGGGGTCTCTAGGACCCCTAATGTCACCTGTGGGCCCCAAAAGAAGCTGATGAAGCAGAGATCTGCTTCATCATCTTCTTTTCTCTGGCTATAGCAGTCAGATGACTGACAGGTGAATGCGGAAGTGATGTAATACACATCACTTCTGCATTCACAGCCCGGAGGGAGATCCGCAAGGAGCTGATCTCCCTCCATCTTCCTTCTGACGCCCTCCCGAGCCGGTCTCTGGCCGCAGATGGGCTAGCGGATCCCGGGATTGAAGGTGAGGGGTCATGAGGGCGGCGGCAGCAGACCAGGGGGGGTTCTGGTAGGGGGCACACACACCAGCACATATACACGATCGGCTGGATATAGAGCCGCCGATCGGGTATATGTTGAACAGCCGGTAACAGCTCTATGCATTGCACGGGTTTTTTCTGCTACGGAGCGCGCGCGAGCAGGAAAAAAATGCTGTCTGGAGACGGCAACCCGCTAATGCCGCAGTGCCGTCCGTACGGTTTTTTTTCAACGGGCGGACGGCAACTGGTTACGGTGTTTCTGAGATCATTCAGAATTCGGTGAGTATTTGACCTGCAGTTGACCTCCTTTTACTTCCTGTATTTGAGCTGTATTTCAACAAAAGCCTGTCAATACTGGCCCTGAAACTGACCATAATTTGTATAGCTCTTACCTCCTTCAGCAGTTTTGGCCACAATCCATGGGCTCGATAATGACCAGCCTACTTCATTCCTGCAGGAAACACTAATATTGTATTCTGTAAATGACTTTAGCTGGTTGATCAGATGTGTATACGGTGGTACAGACGTGTTGTATAGCAGAGTGGGTGTATCGTTCCCTTGTATGAGTTCAGTCACCTGTAACAATACAGTCGCATATGAAGCAGTGTTAATATTAATATATATAATATCTGTGTCTTGCTATTGGCCTCAGTAAGGAGACATTCCCCACACTTCCTGTTCCATTGACAACATTATCATCCAAACAGGAACAATCTCCAGTTTATTCCGTCATGCAACACTGTACTGAAATACATTTTATACCATTTTTTAGGGACAGATTGAACTGTCTTTTGGTGGTATTTAATCACCACTGCGGTTTTTATTTTTTACTATATTAAGGAAAAATTACCGAAATTAAAAAAATAAAATAATTTCCCCTATATTAAATGATAAAACATTTATTATTACCCAATTTTTTGTTAAAATATAAAAGACGGGGTCACGTCGGGTAAAAAGACACCAAACATGTCAAGCGTTAAAATTGCGTGCGCGCGCTAAACCTCAATAAACGATAATACCCAAAATTGGTCATAGGCAACGCCATAAAACCTTTTAACGCTCATCAGTTTAGTGTTATCAGTGATTGATGGCCCTAAAATGATTGCTCTCACTGCGGCGTTCGCGGCAATATGTAACGTGTGTAGCGCAATTGTCGTTTTTGCGCGCTGGTGCACCAGGCGCGTATTTACGTTTATATGTGTGTAAACGTGGGGATGGTGGCCTTAAACATTTTTTTTTTTATATAGGACTTTTATTCTTTTTACTTTTTTCTATTTATATATTTTTTTGCACTTATTGTTATTGCTATTACATAGGGGGATAACAATCCCCCTAAATAATAGCACAGGTACACTGACAGGTCCTCTTTATGGAGACATTAGGGGTCTCTAGGACCCCTAATGTCACCTGTGGGCCCCAAAAGAAGCTGATGAAGCAGAGATCTGCTTCATCATCTTCTTTTCTCTGGCTATAGCAGTCAGATGACTGACAGGTGAATGCGGAAGTGATGTAATACACATCACTTCTGCATTCACAGCCCGGAGGGAGATCCGCAAGGAGCTGATCTCCCTCCATCTTCCTTCTGACGCCCTCCCGAGCCGGTCTCTGGCCGCAGATGGGCTAGCGGATCCCGGGATTGAAGGTGAGGGGTCATGAGGGCGGCGGCAGCAGACCAGGGGGGGTTCTGGTAGGGGGCACACACACCAGCACATATACACGATCGGCTGGATATAGAGCCGCCGATCGGGTATATGTTGAACAGCCGGTAACAGCTCTATGCATTGCACGGGTTTTTTCTGCTACGGAGCGCGCGCGAGCAGGAAAAAAATGCTGTCTGGAGACGGCAACCCGCTAATGCCGCAGTGCCGTCCGTACGGTTTTTTTTCAACGGGCGGACGGCAACTGGTTACGGTGTTTCTGAGATCATTCAGAATTCGGTGAGTATTTGACCTGCAGTTGACCTCCTTTTACTTCCTGTATTTGAGCTGTATTTCAACAAAAGCCTGTCAATACTGGCCCTGAAACTGACCATAATTTGTATAGCTCTTACCTCCTTCAGCAGTTTTGGCCACAATCCATGGGCTCGATAATGACCAGCCTACTTCATTCCTGCAGGAAACACTAATATTGTATTCTGTAAATGACTTTAGCTGGTTGATCAGATGTGTATACGGTGGTACAGACGTGTTGTATAGCAGAGTGGGTGTATCGTTCCCTTGTATGAGTTCAGTCACCTGTAACAATACAGTCGCATATGAAGCAGTGTTAATATTAATATATATAATATCTGTGTCTTGCTATTGGCCTCAGTAAGGAGACATTCCCCACACTTCCTGTTCCATTGACAACATTATCATCCAAACAGGAACAATCTCCAGCATGGACACAGACAGCCAAAAAAAGCTTTCTATCACTTTACTTAAAATAGTCTGCCCCCTATGTCACCAGATTAGAACGTAAGGGAAAATCTCCCCAGTGGGGCCACAACATTTAATGAAAACTGACAGAGGTTCTAACCATGCAAACAGATCAGTTACCAATCTAATCTATGATTGTTTATGATAATGTGTACGGCCGGCTTCATTTTGTGCATCCAGTCTAGCGTTCAATATACCCCTTCCAGGCAGCACAGCCAGGTTCTCAACCCCCGCTATAGCAGCAACATCATAACTTGGTTAACACACCCTCAAAGTACTAACTGGACAGTGAAGGAAGAGAAAACTAGTTTTAAGTTCCATTCCATCCAGCCAATCCTAACTGTAATATAATGATATATAATAAAATGTATGACTATTTTGGTAATCCCTGCCCCTAAGTGATGTCACAGGTATGTAAAACTTTTTGTTTTCTTTCCAAAGGTGCAAAAAACAGGATTGTTCTGGCAAAACAAGGAAAGCGTAGGAGGTATGGACTGATGCAGTTAAAAGAGAAGTAAAGCCAAACCTTCTCTTTTGGGTCAGAGGAAGACATTTACTAATGTACTCCTGTGACCCAAAGTTGCCATATAGCGGGCTACTGCTACTTTACTCTCCCAATACTTCTCCTTTTAATCAATAAAAGTATATAAGAGGAATATAGTAGGTATAAGAGCTTGCTAAAGATTACTACACAGTGTACCATTATTGTACTTATTGAAGGCCTTCCGGTTATTTTTTTACCATAGCTGAAAGCAATTTAAAAATGCAACGTATCTGTCACCATTACTGATATGTATATTAACGATGTGTCACAGGTCTTACAAAGTCTCATCTAAAAAGAAAATTCCACAGAAGAAACTACACCCTTTCCTGTCACCAACAGTGAATGCAGGAAGCGACTTCTTTTATCCAACTTCCTGAACTATGTTGGAACAAAAAAAAGAAAACCTAGGTTAAAACCTTTCATTTTCTCTTTTTGAATAAAAGCTAATAATGTTGTATTCAAAGCTACTTCAGCAGGCCTTACATATACAGTATTATATAGATCCAAACTAATATATATATATAGATGGGCACATGCGATCTTTTTGCAATGGCTCATTTAAAAAAAGCATGGGGCCCCAAGGTACCAGGAGAACTGAGTCACCTTATTTTCTGCTAAGGTCTATACCTCTCAAAATAATCAACAAGCCAGCTTTCCCGTTATACATAATAGATTAGCAAATTAAATCCTGACTAATAGGAAGCTGGGAAAAATAACATGACAGTAAAGGTTAGCACCTGCTCTGCAGAATAGATTGACTTTCTGATTGGTGTAACAAACAGAACTGAAAGGGCTTCTTTCTGCTTTTAAAATAGAAATAGCACGGGTATTTTTTGACCCTCCCAAAGAAGTTTTGTTTTTTTCCATCAACTGAAGTTCTCAGATTACCACTGCACCATTTCCTAAAAATTAGTTTGGTATTGTGGATGATCCATTTACTGTAGGTACTACCACTGTGTAAGCAGTAATATTACGAGAATAGACTTAAGTCCTCTAGATCAGTCTTTCTCAACCAGGGTTCCATGGAAACCTAGGGTTCCTCCAGAGGTTGCTATGGGTTCCTTGAGTAACCAGTAATTTCTTACTCATAGATAAGTAACCTCTGGCACCAATGATTCCATCAGCTGTCTGTAAAGGGGGCATTCTTCCTCCTACTGACCACTAATGTAATGAAGCATTTCACTGACCACCAATGCAAGGTGTGCACTTCACTGACCATTGGCATACACAGACATTTCTGCACTGACCAGTAATGTGAAGGGACACTAGTATTTTCACTCTCTGTCTTTCTTTGTGACCATTCATATTATCTATTTAATTACATTATTATTACTGAAAATAATTACTGAAAATAATTAGTGTTAATAATTAGTGTTAAGGGCAAGCCCTCCTTGATTATATAGGAAGTTTTGTATTTTTTAATGGAGAACCTTTAAAGATGACCTCTTGACTTACCAAGTCTGCATGAAAAAAATTTTGACAATAATCAAAAAGTGGAAGCCATGCAAAGAGATTTTGACACTTTTCTGACACTAATTTACAGCAAGCTTGTTTTAACTATGTAACTCTATGTAAAAGTATTAAAAGCGGTACTAGTGTTTTCAGGAGGCCAGCAATGATAACTCCCATATTTCTCTCATGACCGCTGTAATTAAAGTGTAATTAAAGTGTATCTAATGGCAAACCTTTTTTTTGTTTTGGAAAGAGCGGTAAGGGCTTAGAACTCCGGTCAGGATTTTTTTGTTTGTTATCTGTATCCCTGTTTTGCAGATGAACTCTCTCTCTCTCTCTCTCTCTCTCTCTCTGTTTGTCCTGGTGAACACAATCCATATCCAGTACCTCGCTCCCACTTTTGCTCCATTTTGTTTTTTGCTGTGTCAACCCCAATCAAAGGGATTTCACCTCAGCATTTATCATGGTAACCATTTTCACAGGTACTGATAGTTAGAGGAAAACCGAAACCTAACTCTTGCTTCTTTGTGTGTTTACAGCAAAGGGAAATCCCTCCAATGGACCAGAGATGGCCAAGAATACATGACAAGGGTTTTAAACATACCCTACTCTATCCAAAAAAAGAAGTTATGGCTTTATATATACATATCTATATATTTATAGATATATATATAGATATAGATATATATAAAGTCTTTAACATTGGTGGTGTAATTGAATGGTGTTTTAAAGATGAAAAGGAAAAGTTATTGAGAACTAAAAGCATTACATTTTTCCGTAAAACCACAATTAACAATTCTAATAAGAATTAAATAAAGGGATTGGTTCTTTTATCTGTACATGAAAGCACTGTAATACATAAATATTTTATTTTACTTGTCATCTGGATGCTATCTGATGGGGTCAAGGAAGAGAGTTTTTTAAATAAAAATAAGTAAATTCTTCTCTTTTTGTAACATTTTCTCTCCTACTGGGTGCAGAAGAACAGCCCTTTGTACAGAGGGAGGACTAAGCAGGGCTGGTGTGTGTGTGTGTGTCTGAGCGTGGCACCAGACCTGAACATAATCCTGCAGGAATGGAATCCAGACATTGTGACACAGAGACTTTCTTCTTTGTCAGGACAATCTTCAAAAGCAGTTATACAATGGGTGAAAGTGGCTTACAATTACGCTCCACATTTACTTTCATTTATCTATAAGGCTTATGCCATTGTTCACTGTATAAATAACTTTTCTGAAAATGCTTATGAAATTATTGCTACACGTTAAAGTGTAAGGTCGCCATATGTGGCTGCCCGCACCCTCTGTTGCCAACTGCATCTTGGAAATGAGAAAAATGAAATGCTTGAACTTAGTGAGAAAACAGTTCACTGAAGTTTGGCCAAGTTTTCGTAACCCATGCAAAACTGTCAGTGGCACACCCCCCATTCTGGCATAATCAGTTGCGCCCGTGCACTCCCCAAACCTTTGTTACATGTAGCTGTGGGGTGGAGAATGCTCCAGGCACAACTGACTGGGTCAGGATAAGGGGTGTGCCATTGACGGGTTTGGATGGCAAACACCAAGCTCACGCACATTACTATGCCTGAGTTCTGGCTATTTCCTGCTTCCTGTTGCTGACATCACTGGGCTTCACAAAGGCTTTTCCCAAGATGCCTCTGTGAAGCCCAGTGATTTGCGATCCCCAACTTTCCTAGGATCCTGCAAGAAGACCCACTGAGGTCACCTCACCTAGGCAAATCCATTGGAAGCCTGGGAATGAAGTCAGTAGTTTTTACGATTTTCTACCAAAATGTTTATTTTAAATTTACATAATACATTATGACAGCAGGGGATTGGGGGCAGGCACATAAACGGACTGTGCATTTTAGTATAAGGTCCACTTTAAGGTAGATCTAAACCTAATCACTCAAATGTAATGTGAGATTGAACATGTTACTGTAATTGTATCTTCATATTAAATGTTTATTGAAGGTTTTCAAATTATAACAATGACAAAAATACCATACAGTGTGCACATACATATAGACAGTTACATTACATATAATACCAAAGGGAGAGGGGAGGGAGGGGATAGGTCACATCAGGGAGGTAGGGGAGCTGGGTATTCCCCCGGTCAGGGAATTTTGGGGTAAGTAGGGCTCAGTGTGACATTCACATGGCGAAACACTGTAAGACATATACCTATACGAGTTCGGAACCCCTTAAATGAGCCATTAGTCAAATTGCATAAGACATAACATGTTAGGGTGGAGTACGGGACCCCAGCCGGTTATGCAAAATTAATAGGGAGAGTATGAAAAATAAATAAGACAGAATATATAGATAGATCAAGACATGTCACGTGGACAACATTTTGAAATAATCATCTGTAGTTTTAAAGTGCAACCAGCTCGCCCATGTTTTGTAGAAAGTGCTGTAGTTATCATTACTAGAGTGATGTAGTTCCTCCATTAGTCGCAGATGTTACTGTAATTTTAAACGTTTTAAATCCTTTTAATTCTGCAGAATTAATTGTACTAACACCACCATAACATTCATGCTAAATAGGTCCTTGTTCAAGCATGTCCAGTTATTGGGTGACAGCTATCGCCCAATTGTGCTCCTGCATTGCCACCCTGTCAAAAGCACCCATTTTAATGAGGCAAGAAACCATGCAGACACAGGCATAGTCCACTGTTGTCACTATCAGGAAGCTGGTTCACAGCAATAATGTGCAGCAGATGCTAGCATGAGGGCATATAGCCAGGAAGTGCCTGAAAGAGGCCGCATGAGGCCAGCAGCACTTAGATGTGAAAAAGGATAGGAAAAAAGGTCAAAACTGTATTTCATGGCAAATGTTTATGATACACAGCGCACAGAGCAAATGAATTGTTATCCAATTAGGTTTCACAGCTACTTACATTTACTTAGTTACTTCTCTTTTTTTCTCATGAGCCTTCATTTTCCTTGATTGCTATGGGTGCTCTGTATAGATATGGAGTCCAGGTGTACAAAACAAACTGGCAACTGAAATCACCCTAACCTGTCTGTAACTCTCATGTCATGGACAGTGCAGCTCACTGCATCTTTTTTACTTCAAGGGCTTCTTTCACACCAGCCCAATCCACTCACCACAATGGACCATGTATGTAGCATTTTTGGCACAACACACGGTAGCGCATTGCACTGCAACATAGGTATGTGGGAGAGGTGCCTAATGTACAATGCAGTTAGGCAAGTGCACTGGTTTGGACAGTCCCCGAGCCTTGCCTATGTGACACATGAATCAGAGGGACATTTTATACCTAAGGAAGTTAAGATTTTTTGGATTTTAATTATGTCTAAGTGAAATGTATTAGCACATTTGATGCCTTGATAATTTTGTAATTTTTTTAATGATTTGTGTCATTAGATATCCTATGTATAATTAAAGCCCAACTCTGTAGGTAAGGGTTAAAATCTCTATCAGGTTTGTATTGCTGCCTGTGCCCTCTCTAGGGAGGTTTCTATTCACTTTCTGCCCAGGTTACTGGAATTAGGCAGAACAGGAAGTAAAGGGAAACCTCTCCAGCAGACACATGGCAGCAGTAAAAACCAGACAGATATTCAAACCTTTTCCAAACCTTTCCCCATTCTTTCAAAAAGTTAAAAAGCATTTTGACTGGACTTGGACGTTAAGTAAAATATGAATCATAATCAAGTAGAGTGAACTTTGCTATCACAGATCACCACTGCCCTACATTACTCACTTGTCTATAAATACAGATAAAATCATGTACAGGTAAGCTGGCAGATATAGTCTTTATTAGTATTGCCACACTGAATCTTATGACCTGATGTGATCAGTACTAATAAAGTAATAAACTGAGTTCATGTCAGTTTTTTTGATCTGTAAACACACAAACACACTTTTTACTATATATTTTACTTAAAGGAAATGTAAAGACAAAACTTTCTCTTTGTTTAGATAAGAGTAGGGAAGGTTAAAACCTCTTTCAGTTTTTGTCTTTGCTGTCTGATTTTCCCTCACATCTCATTCCAGGGACAAAACAGGAAGTAAGAGGAAATCTCTCCATAGCATGGGGAAATCCCCTCTAAGATATCTGTCCCTGAATTGAGTGTCCAATGACAACCCAAAATTTGAATTTTTCCTATCTTTTATTGCAGGTGACAGTGACCAACAGGACTAATAGAAAAAATATATCTAGTGGGCACACAGACATCACAAAAAACTGACGGAGAGGTTCTTATTTTTCCATGCTCTATCCAAGGTTTTAACCAAAAGGTTTTGGCACCATTTCAATCAAGGAAAAATCATTTGTGTGGACTGACTTTTTAGAAGAAGTATTGGGAAAGTAAAATGCACTCTCCCCGATATTTAGTGCCAGAGTGTGACACTGCAGCTGTCACATGCCTGCTCTATAGAACAAGAGCTGAGCGATCACAAACCACTCCTCATCGCTCAGCTCATGGCTTCACCCTGCAGAAAGTGGTGACTGTCAGTCTCGACTCCCTGCAGGGATTTCTCCCTCCCCTCTTTCTGTTCCTCCAGCACTCATTGGAGAAACAGACAGGGGAGGTGACAGGCACAGCTAGCTCTGGCTCTGAATAGGCAGAGCCAGCTGTCAATCAGGCAGGAAGGTGGATTCCGACAATATATGTGGGATCTTTCCCGGTTGCAGCAAGGCTCTGCACTGTCAGCATATATTGAGCTATATGCCTGCAATATGCAGACTTTGGATCATAGGAGTACTTTACTAAATGTACTCCTTGGACCCAAAAGAGAACTAATGCCAAAAAAGGTTTGGCTATAGTTCCCTTTTAATGATAAAATGTGCAGCTTTTTTCAAAAATGAAACTGTTAATGTATATGGTGACCCCATCAGGAATTTACTTATGCAGACTTGTAATGTTACTGAAAAGTCCACTTTAACTAACAAAAGGATAAAAATAAAAGTAAATATGTTTAATCCATATTTATACCTGTATGTTGCAGAAACTGAGGGGAGAATACCCATCGAAACCAGGGACCCAGGAAAGAGAGATGCCATTTGCTAATTGTTTCAAAGCCTTGACTTCAGACAGAGGAGACGGAATATCTAAAAAAGAACATAAAGAGAAAACACTGAATGTGTCCAGCTTATGCAAAGCGAAGAATAACTTAAACAATTCTAGAAAAGGACAGCAGGTTTTGTGGATATAGTAAAATGGCAACATACAAATTATTTATTGGAAAGAATGGCCCTGATTCATAAAGCTACAATATCACTTAAAGAGGAACTTACCCCTTCCTGTAACTGTGCTGGCTGCCTCTTCCTGGTTTTTGCAGCTGGCTCCCAATGATGAAGGTGGCCCTCCAGCACTGTGTGTCCCTGCTCCTGGAATATGGAGATATCCCAGGAGGCTGCAGGAGCCGCACACATCTTTCTCACTTAAAGTAGAATGAAGGCAGGGGAACGAACCGTAGTAAAAAATGTAAATTAAAAAAAGCGTTTTTTTATATTGTGGAGGGGGAAAGGATGCAGGAAGGAAAAGTCAATTGTGGGAGTGAAGTTTGACTTTAAAGCAGAACTCTGGTTAAAAATATTATTAACCCTTGCAGTGTGAGGGTAGCCCCACTGCAAGGGTTAATAAAAATTTTAACCGCAGTTGTTTTTTAAAGAGTGCTAAATTGTCCTAAAATGTACTACAACTACATGCAATATCATTGGTTGAGAAGCCAATTTAGAATGCCTTTAGCACACTTAAAATACTTTTGCAGTTTCATGAATCAGGGCCAATGTCTATTTTTATTCTATACCATCACATAAAGGCCAGGATCTATTTTTTAAAATAGTTTTTGAAAATTAAGAGGAACCTAAACCTTCTGTGACCTCTTGATCTAATCTTGGTTGCACAACATTTCACTATTAAACATGTCATTGTTTTATTCAATCAAAAATGATGATTCAGCTGCAGGTGCAATCTGATGGGTTAAGTCACTTGCTGTCCCCCAATATCCAGTGCCAGCATCACAGGAAAGAGGACAATATATATACATACTTACTACAATGCCGTCCATTACCCCCTCATTTCTTAACAATGATACCGTACAGAGCTACTGTATCAGGACAGGGGGGTATTGGGTACAGTGTACAGGTAGATGTCTGCCTACCCCTGATTCCTGCCTGACATCATCAGACACAACCACCACACCCCCACAGAGACTCTGTAACTTACTGTGCAATTGTACTTTACAGGACTCAGAAACACTTTAGGTCTAGGTGCAGACCAATCTCAAATTTCCACCCAGTGCTCCCCACTGTCCAAAGTGCCCAAATGTTAAATTGGAATGCCCCCCTCCCTTTGGTCAATATTTGGAACCAACTTTGCCTTCATGAGCTAATGATTCCAACAGTGATATTTCCCTTCTATCTATTTTTTCCCCATCCTGGAGTTTTTATTTGTGACTCATATCCAGTTGCATAGCCAACACTTCCTCTCCCCTCTTCTATTTACAGACTGCCTTGTATTCTGTGAAAACACTACAAGGCTTTTTGTGAATGGGTGAGGAGAGAGGAGGGGGCCAGTATGTGACAGGAGCTCTTCATTGAAAATCAGGAAGAGTCACTGGCACACCAATAGTGATTCAAGCCCGTCTTTTATTGATACGTGGTCACATAATCAGAAAGTAAAAAGACATTTCAGGGCCACATGGGGTCTCCTCATTAGGCAAAACAATCTATAAATGTATTCTTGACTATTCAATTTAACATTCTATTTTCTCCTTTTAGAAAAATGCATACAAATGTCTTTAGCTTTAGCCTTTGATCTGTATTCAATCCTTTTTTTCTAAAAGCAGGAAGGAAACTCCAGTGCAGTATATGTCTTCTGTGACATTTCTCTGTTTAGTACTTTAGCATTACATTTTATTTTCTGTTTTAAAAATAAAAAAAAATGTATAGTTCTGTTCCTGCTTCAATTTTGGCACATTGCAGTCAATGGGGGCATTTACCGAGCAAATGCGTGACAAAGTTAGATGCAAATCAGGCTGCTCTTCAGTCTATGGGCCCATTCACTGCAGGGACGTGCTTTAATCACAACGTTCCAAAGCAATTAACCCACGGTACCGCTTAACACACCTACCGCATGTTAACAATCTGGAGGTACGTTGCGATTAATTTGAATGGCACCCCAAAAGCACCTCCCACTTGTAATACGCCTGACAGCGCCACAACACATGGTACGACAATACCATGCATGCACTACTATTTTCAACAGCAGCACAATGCACTTTATTGCGGTATTGTGCGTGGCATCCCAGTCAATCGCATTGCGGCCGGGAGGAGCGTCTGGAGTGCCATTCAAATGAATGGCAACACAGTACACCTCCCGTACTGTTAACACATGGTAGATGTATTCCATGGTACCATGCATTAATCGCACAAAAGCATGTGATTATCTGGGGCCGGATTAACATAGGGGCTTCTGGAGCGATAGCTCCAGGCCCACCACTGAAATTAGGCCTGCTGGCCCGGAATACCTCAGTATGCCTGATGGTCTGAACACAATCAGGCAGAGGTGTCGGCCTCTCTCTAATCAGGCACATTAAGCGGCCACTCACTGGGGCATGAGGAGCGAGCGGCTGCCTAATTCGAGAGCCATCTCTACTGCTTCCCGTCAGACAGACCGACAGCACCAGGCCCATGATGCTCTTAATCCGGCCCTGCGATTAACACACAGCCCTGGTGTGAATGGGCCTTATTTGTTTTTTGTGTGTGTGTGTGTGTATTGCAACATCTGTGCCTGCAATCCTGGGCAGCGAACTGCAACAAATTTGCCCATGTCCAATCACATTGGGGCTGAGACGGATTTATATCAAGATGAAAGAGCGGCTGAGGAAGGAATGTATGGATGAAGCTGCAATATTGTTCTAAATCTTTCTTAATGATCGTCTTTGCTTTGCTGTGTGACATAAATGATCAATGTCCCTCAATGGGAAGCAAATGAAAAAACATATTTATAAAGCAGTCATAAAGCAGTCAATGTGACATTACCATACATTTACTGTATATTCAAACATTTTCACCAGGAAGGTTTACTTGCAGTCAAAGTTTGGTAAATCTCACATTCTCTCCTTTACCATTTCTAATTTTGGCAAAAAAATTAAAGATTGAAAAACTACCATTATCTTGCTTTGAATAGACATTGTTGCTCCTGAGCTCTCACCTAGTACCTAAAGCATACATCCCAACTGTCCCTAATTTGGAACCAAGTCCCTCTGTCCCTCTTCCCTCAGTTGTCCCCCTTTTTGGTATAATGTAAAGATATCTATAAAAAGGTACTATTTACCTACAGTGTTTGACATTTTGAAAATCCAGTATAAAGGAAAAGTAATGGTGAAAAAAACAATTCTGGTTTTAACCAATCATTTTTGGCATATAAATTCCTAATGGTGCACATTACTGGGGGTGTGTCCATTGCTTAAATACATTCATTGGAATTCTGCCCTCTGCCTGGGCAGCAGGCGGAACCTATAGCCAATAGTGAGCCTGCTGTTGGCTATGGAAGCTACCTACTGACTGTTGTCATGCAGCAGCAGAGGGGACCTGATAGGGAACTAGTTCCTCCACCCACTGTTAGTGTGACTGGTTTTTAAGGACGATGTTGGCTGTAGCCAGATGCAGAGAATTCTTGTTTGTGTAAATGCAGCTACACTGAATGCACCTAGACACTACTGAATGTCTAGGTGCATTCAGCCAAATAAAAGCATTAGATGTGTTTAGGATTAGGTTTGTTTAGAAATTAGCATCAAAGGCACCTGGAGGCATGAATTTTATATTCTGTGTGAATTGAGCTTTAAGACATACTAAGGATCAGCAAGGCACGTCTCTGCAGCAGTACAAAGCAGAAAGCAGAACAAGCATATGTAATGTGCAATAATAGAAAACTTTCAGGGTTATTCACAAAAGGGTGAAGAGTTTGGAGAAGGCAGGAGAAGTGAACAATCTAGGACAACATAGCTGAACCGGAAAGTGAGCTGAATTGAAGAATGTTTCCAAATCAACTACTTTGTCCTAGATTGGTCACTTCTTCTGCCTTCTCCAAACGCTTCACTCTTTGTGAATAACCCTGTTTGTGTCCATATATGATTACAAACTATACCCAGAAACAAAGTTAATATATTTTACATGCAATGATGATTATTTAGATTGAGCTAAAGGTATTCGCATGCATGCCTAAAAAAATGTAGTAATTATTTTGCTGCATGAAAACCTCCAGGTTCATTACCCCAAAAAATGAACTGCACTTATATAAGGGTCAGCTTGTTTTCATAAGAAGCAAGTGTGTGCCAGTGTGATTCAGAGCCTAAATTCTATTAATGTCAGGTGATTTAATTTATCTCACTGCTCCATGAATTACATAAACACTAGGCCTCCTTACCTTTCCACTGCACGTTTTACAGCGAAACATCCTATTAATAAATGGCAAGCATCCAGGACTGCAGGGTAAGCTACGGGAAAAGGCATGAAGTCTAAACAAGACCCGAATTTATAAGTCAGCTAAGTGCTTAACAATAAGCCGCCTGTCCACATACCACAAGACTGGCACAAGAGTTGGCTTTTATCAGGAACTTGTATAAAGTGACATGCAGATTCATGCAGATGTGCCAGAGACCAATAAGAACCTGTTAACTAATGAGTAATATAATGGAATTTCAATCAAGTATTAAAAAAACAGCTTATGAAAATAGTTATGTATTCTTAAAAAAAATGTAGAATTATTTATTTAAGAAGGCGGCGAGGCAGTACTCTAATACAATTTACTACTTTTACATGAACTTGTAACAAACTCCGGCTTATTCCGAGTAAAGAAGTATACAGGGCACACATACAAGTAACTCAGGTATAATTCATTTTGCAGAATAGTAACCTGGACTATATAACAGTTGCACTGATTAGTATGTGGTCCGTATGTTACCTCTTGCTCCTTTTTTGTTTATATTTAGAAAGGATATGCATGGGGGAAAGGGCAGCCCTAACTATCATGAGAGAGATTAGTTAAGAATCTTGTGACGGGTATAAAGGGGAAGCATGAGAGCAAGAGAGAGGAAAAGGGAACTCCCAAGTCAGAGAGGAGGGGCATAGGGGGGATAAGGAATGGGGGGAAGGGTAAGGAGGCAGTGAGGATGCATTCATTGTTTCCAGAGCCCCTCTCACCTCAAAGCCAGGTGGGGTAGGGAGATGCCCAAACTGTAGTAGTACAAAAGGTCTCCTACACCAATGAGAGGTATTGTACTCTTGGGTGTAGATAACATCCACCCATTAAAACCAAGTCCTCCTAAACCTTTCTCCTTGATATCTGTGCGTTGGGGCGAGGTCCTCCATGCTGTATAGTTCTTGGACCTTCAGGCACCAAATAGCTAATATAGGAGGAGAGGGTTGTTTCTATTGCAGCAGGATGCAAACTATGGCCACATTCATCAAGCAAAAAAAAAGGGAGTGTCTGTAATTATGTTTGGGCAGGTGAATGAGGTGTAGTAGACTACAGAAGTATTCTTGCCCAACATCTTGTCAACATCTATGAGTCTTTGATTAAAGACTGTACCCCATCCCTGAAAGTTCTGAGCATGGGGCATTCACTAAAGATATGAAGTATCATGGCCATCTCCTGTTGGCAGCACCAGTACAAATTATCTTTATATATTAACTCCAAAGACTATAGACTTATAAAGCAGCGGTATGGCCTTACTGTGTACATACTACTGCTTTAAATAACAGAAAGTACTGCACATTAATAAAGCAGAGCTGAGCATGATTAACATTTACATCAATAGAAAAAAGGAAGAGGTCCTGGTCCTCTGAACAGCTTTCTGAAAGAAAGAGCTTACTCTGTGGAACAGGCTCGAGGTGCGGTCAGGGGAGGCAGGTGAGGCAGAGCCTCACCTTGAATTATGGAGGAAAAAGCTGTCAGCTTCATGTCTGAAGCTGACAGCTTTTTCTCCATTCAGATCGGCATCTGAGGTTACACAGCAGGGAAATCCTCCCTGCTGTGTAACCTGTCATGGACGGAGCGGCTCAGCAGTGAGGAGCAAGTTAGGGACAGGGAGGCTCTTTCCTGTCTCCACTCTTCCTCCTTTACACTAGCTTGGGGACGGGTTGGGGATTCGTCAGGCGGGGCGGAGCTTCGTTCAACAGGGGGTGTGGTTTCGTCCAGCAGGGGACTGGGCTGGGGAATGCACGAGGTACCGCACGTCACTGCTCTACACCACAGGCTGCATTTTATGAATGGCATATAAAATTCAGTACACGATAATAATGTGGTGCCCAGATCGGTTCAATTAGTCAGATATGACTAGATATTAACATTTATAAGTAATAACAAGAGAGATTGTTGGAAATATCTGAATGCCTTAGGAGATCAGGAAGGAATTTGTTTTTATGTGTCCTCTATAGGGAAATAGACACAGAGAACACTGGGAATCCAGGAAGGTGCTGAAAGTGATAGGAAGACAGAAGGCAGCACTCACTACATGAAAGGGATTTTTTTTTTCAAGTAAGCTTTGATTGCATTAATCAAAACCTATATTATATATTCCTATTACTATGCTGATGTTATAACAGGATAGTATATGCTGGGACTTTACAACTCCTTTAACTACATCTACATAATTTCACATCAACATTATAAGAATTGCTATAAACGACTCACCTTTGATGTTGATATTCACATTATTGGAAGCAGTCAGCCCTTTCTTATTATGTGCTTCACAACTGTATGTTGCTGGCTCACTCAAACCTGGCACAAAATACAAAAACACCAAATAAAAAGAACTGACGACCTGATTATAACCGGCTAGCATTTTATATTAGATGAGCAAAATTAGCCAATGTAAGCTACGCAAAAGAAATGGAACAGAGCTTTTCCATTACAATGGAAATACTATTTTGGTTAAGTTACTTTGGTCTTCTGAAAAGTCAAAAAGAAAAAGGTCGATTTAGGTTACATTTTTTGAATGTCACAAATACTGTTAGTATAACTACTAAAAATCTATTTGAAACAACATATAGAAAAAAATTGGGTTTTTTGTTGAGAGGTATAACACCAACACTTGATTCAGTTGATATAAAAAATATATTTATTTTACACATATACAGCATAAAACCATGTATACATTTCATTGAATACAATCTAAATCGAATAACATTTTAAGCAGACATTAAAAAAAACAAATTGCATCCTAGTTCCAATTTATCTTGTTAGGCATTGTATTCAGTAGGGAGTTCCATGTATCCAGTCCCTACGCGTTTCGCATATTGCTTCCTCAGGGGAACATGGATCTATCTAATAAAAAATGTATATGTATTTAGTCTTAAATTACTTCATCTACGTACAAAAATCCATTTTGAAGTCTACACACCGGAAAGAACTGTGCTCCTGGCGGCTACACCGGACAGAGTGATACCCATCACCATCGTCACCCCCGCAACTCAAACACCTCTCACTTACCACCCAATGGAATTCCCGGATGCGAACAGGATTCCCCAGATCGAGTGCCGATAGGGATAGAAATCCCACCGCAACCACTCCGTCTGGGGGGGTCAATTTGGGGGCCCTGGGGCCACAAGAGGGGGCGTTTCAGGACTTCATTACAGCGGGATCAGCACAACTAGAAGTAGTGGCATGGTATCAAACAAGGAGCTTGGCCATTGCTTGGTCAAATTAGAGACTTGTTTCCCCAGCTTCACTATCCATAATAGAAGTACATAAGAAGCAATAAAAACATGGCAGATGTTCGAATCCCAATTCACTCCCCATTTTGGCTTCAGTTGCACCTTAAGTAACACAACCCAATACAAGAATTGATCAATTTAAATCATTCATTTATTGTTCTTTTTTGCAAACTCATAGACCACATGAAAATGTTTATTTGGTGTTAATTGAGGTATTCTTTGATAATAGAGTGAAATGCCAAAAATATCACAGTCTCTGCTCAATGCCCTCTACTGTTGTCTGTTAAACGCAGAGCGGATTTCTAATAGCTTAAAGTCTGAGTTCTCGAAAATCATTTAATACAAACGGATTAGAGTGTAACGTGAAAAACAAAATCACATGAGGGGGAGATGTCTCTATGCAATTGTTGAAGGCTCACGTTTCTCTTGTTTCAAATTAAACATTTTTAAGAGAAATATGTTTAATTTGATAAGTTATTTCTGACCTGCTTCTGAAAATGCTGGTTGCCTGGATTTTATGTTGACCCCCCTAGTTTCAATAATTTCGATGTCACTGACTATTAACAGTTTTGCAGTCCTATGCATTCCTTGTCTGCGTACTTGTGTTGGGTCAATGATTCAAAGTCCTGAACAGATCAAACCCATTTTGAACATGAGCTCCTCCAAACAATGAAGGAAGCCCATTCTGCTGCTGCCAATCAGCTGCGGCCGGGGGAATTCCCTGCCAGCAGCTGCAAGTTAGCAAAGTGACTTAATTGACCTTATACAGCCACATGGCTATAGATTTTCAATTTCATTTAACTCATACGGCCACATGGCTATAGTTGGTCAATTACATTGACCTCATACAGCCACATGGCTATAGTTGGTCAATTACATTGACCTTTTACGGCCACATGGCTATAGATGGTCAATTACATTGACCTCGTACGGCCACATGGCTATAGTTGGTCAATTACATTGACCTCCTATGTCCACATGGCTATAGTTGGTCAATTACATTGATCTCGTACAGCCACATGGCTATATTTGGTAAATTACATTGACCTTGTACAGCCACATGGCTATAGTTGGTCAATTACATTGCTCTCGTACAGCCACATGGCTATAGTGAGTCAATTACATTGATCTCATACAGTCACATGGCTATAGTTGATCAATTACATTGATCTCGTACAGTCACATGGCTATAGTTGTTCAATTACATTGACCTCATACGGCCACATGGCTATAGTTGGTCGATTACATTGAACTATTATGGCCATGTAGCCATACAAGGTCAGTGTCATCAGCACAGGCATCCCGCCCCTTTGTTTATTTGTAGATGCGTGGTGGGGAATGCCCCATGTAGCTTCGGACAAGCTGTAGGTGAGCTTGGTCTGAACCTGAGCTCATCCATAGTCCAGCAGCAAAAAGGTCAGTATGACAGCAAAACAATCAGCATTTGCAGAATGATGTCAGCAATGGCAGCCTCCATGTTTCTTTTTTAGGAAAAGGTCTTTCTTTAACAATGTATCTAAAGCCCAAATTTTCTTTCGAGTTTTAGAATGTACTTTAGAAGGGTAGAATGTTTTTTAGTGTAGAAAGGTAAGAGATTTTTAGAGGCTGTCAATGTTCTCTCTGAGAAGATGTTTGTACTAATTACCATTGTCTTTAGGATAGAAAGTGATCCAATATTTTATGGTTGTCACTGGAACAGGAGGTGTGCGGAAACCTTAAAATAGGGACCTGTTCAGCTGACAACTGTCTAAGAGAGGATTTTCCCCACTTTGTAGAGAAATCCTTCTACTTCCTGTTATGGCTCTGGGAAGTTTCCCCAATATTGTATCCAGTTTGGGATTTTACCCTTTTTTTAAATAAATATACTGATAAGGTATCAATCACAATTCTGACAAACATTTTGTTCCTTCTGTACTGACTTTCCATTGTTTAGATAATTTCTAGCGACGGTTTGTGACATAACTGTTAAACAGACTTGCAGCATCCAACTTAATGACATTAAACTGTACTTCTATTCAGATGCTAAATCCTGATTAGTGTACTTTCATTTTAATATCAGGAATTACCAGACAGGAATTTACAGCCAAGAAAATCAACAGATGATATCTTGGTGACCACTTATAAGCTATACTGGAAGATGTAGAGCGACACAGTGGAAACAATGGCATGCACATTTGGTTATGCTGTAATAAAAAAGATACAACCTCTAACTGCAGATGTCTAAAGCTGGCCTGCTGCTGTTCAGCTGACAATTTTCCACTTGTCTTCTTGGACAAAAAGTCAATGAGAAAATAGACTTTTGTTGAGTCGAGTGGTGCTGGCAGGGCCACACACAACTCGAATTTTAGCTAATTCAGCATGAGTTGAACACAATTCAAGCAGTGTATAACCAACTATAGTCCATCAATCAAATTGTCCTGTTTACTATAATTGACAGAAGCCACCCCAAAGCTATCGATTATCTGCAGATTTTCTATGGTCAGATGATGCAACAGATTCCTCCGTCTACGCTAAACTGTGTGGATGGAGGAATCTCCGACTAGCAAGATAATGAAGCTTGGCCCAGTGGGAGATTCCTTCATCCACACAGTTTAGCATGGATGGAGGAATCCGTCGCACTTTTTCCATCTGACCATAGAAAATCTGCGGAAAATCTATAGGTGCTTGGCCAGCATAGGGCTAAAATAGGCTATACACAGTTAGAATATTGTATGAACAAAATCAACTTTGGAACATTCGTTCAGCTTTCTAATAGTTGATGGTGTCAAATCAATGATCAATGACCACACTGATCAAAAAAGTCGAAGGAGCATGTGGGAACATTTTATTAGTGAATGTGGTTTTTGTTTGGGAAGCTTAATTCATTACAAAATCAAATGTAAATCAAAATGAAAATTTTGAATGACATTTGTCAAGTGTCTGATGGTATAAAACATTCCGACAAGATGAACCCTACTTAACTCACTTTTTAATTTCCAGGGTAATTAACATATGTATACAATTAGCTGTTCAATAGCCCTCATTCATTCATTTATTTATAGTGCATTTCCACCTTACAACTGCACTCTAGCACTTGCCAACCATGATGTCAGTATGGTGCCCACATCCATGACTACTGTAATGCTGCACCAAGTGATAGGGGAGTATATAAACACATTTCTGATTAGAGCAATAAAAAAGCAGATAAGGATAACACATTTCAGCCTCTTCAATTATCTTATTCTGTACCATTTCCTCAATCATAATATCTGCCCAAGAAACTCCTGATTGAAGCTGCCATTCCCTCCTGTTCTTCCTTTTATTTTTTTCCTATTCATTTATTCCTATTTTAGTCCTGAAAATAAAACATCTGCCACTCTTTTGATGACCAAAGCGTATCTAAACCCTGAACCAAAAATTGTTATTTATTGCAGCCTACCAGTCCTTAGATATTTTGGTTGCATTAGTTTTTTTAAATTTTCACCTGGTGATCCTGTCAGTAACACCCTTCCTGTCCCGGGGTGGCTCCACTCTATGGAGGAGCAATGGAGTCACCTTTGGACAACAGTAGGGATGTCCCGATACCGATGCTAGCATCGGAATCGGGCCCGATACAAGGCATTTTGACAAGTACTTGTACTTGTCAAAATGCCCCTCACCAACACAGAGCATAAACAGTTTAAAAGTTAGTACTTGCTATTAAAAGTAACAGGTGAAAATACTGGAATAGATATCTTCCGCATAAAACAATATATCTTGAAAACTCTATTATTATCAATGGAAACCCCTATGGTACAAATTAGGATACCCCACCTTTAGCTCCTCCCACTGGACCAGTGCTGACTTGTCGCTGCTCTCTCCGGCACAGTGAGTGAGTGCAAGGGGGAGGGGAGGGAACACTATTATGCTGCAAAGTTTATTTGAAAATGTATTCTCTGCACTGTATGAGCAGTATATACTCTATATGTACTACATATACATTACACATGTCCAGTACACTATAGCAATAGATTTACAGCAAGCCCCGTCCCAGCTTCCCTCACTCACAGTTTCGCGCCGATCCCTGTCGCCTCACAATTCTGCCCTGCTAACATGAATGGGTTAAATGATCCGTAGTACAGGGCTACATACAGATCATTTAATCCATTCATGTTAGCAGAGTAGAATTGTAAATGTATTGTCTGCACTGTATGAGCAGTGTGTACTCTATATATACTCTATATGTACTACATATACATTACACATGTCCAGTACACTATAGCAATAGATTTACAGCAAGCCCCGTCCCAGCTTCCCTCACTCACAGTTTCGCGCCGATCCCTGTCGCCTCACAATTCTGCCCTGCTAACATGAATGGGTTAAATGATCCGCAGTATAACTACATGTTATGTACTATTATGTACTATGGATCATGATTTACCCTCTTCATGTTAGCAGGGCAGAATTGTGAGGCGACAGGGATCGGCGCGAAACTGTGAGTGAGGGAAGCTGGGACGGGGCTTGCTGTAAATCTATTGCTATAGTGTACTGGACATGTGTAATGTATATGTAGTACATATATACAGCACACACCTCCACTACACTCCCGCAATAGAGTTACAATTCTCCGCTGCTAACATGAATAGGTTAAATCATGATCCATAGTACAGAACATGTAGTTGTACTATGGATCATTTAAAGTCACCTGTCCCTTTAAGAAAAAGTATCGGTAATTGGTATCGGCAAGTACATGAGGGGAAGTACTTGTACTTGGGCCTGAAAAAGTGGCATCGGGACATCCCTAGACAACAGCATTGTCTCCCTGTGGTTAGGTTAGTGTGAGATAGACAAGCAGATTTAGATGGAACTGATTAACAAATTAAAGCTGAACTCCAGCTAACACTTGTAAGCAGTTACAGTGGCAATTTTATTTTTTTCCTTCTGGGATAAAGGTTTTACATAAATGAATAAAGCTAACCATTATAAGCACCCTGTCAGTGTTAAATGCTTAACCTTCTAACGCTGGCTCCACACATATAGATTATCTGCAGATTTTCTATAGTCATATGGAAAAAGTGCAACAGATTCCCTCATCTATGATAAACTGTGTGGATGGAGGAATCTCCCACTGGGCCAGGTTTCAGTATCTTGCTTGTAGGCCCCGCCGGCTGTCAAAATACCTGAACAATCTGATTGGATGCAGACATTTTTTAGGTATTTTGAGTCAGCGGGGCCAACTAGCAAGATACTGAATCTTGGACCAGTGGGAGATTTCTGCATTCACACAGTTTAGTGTAGATGGAGGAATTTGTTGCACTTTTTCCATCTGACCGTAGAAAACGAATGCAGCCACCACATTGCACAGGAAAGTGTCATATATTTGTGGTGGACATACCTGGAGAAGATATTTGAACCCCCCCCCCCCCACCCCACCAAAGGAGAAGTTCTCCATTCACCCACTAGACGGTGCCCCTCCAAAAGTAGAAGTAGCACCAAGGGGACATGCTCCCCCCGCCCCTTAGCTTCGGCCCTGAAGGTAGGTACTAGTAATCTTGTTTTGCAGGGTGCTTCTTTTTTTCAACAATGCACTACTATAAATGAAGAAATATTTCATTATTATTGTGGTGGTTTAGAGAAATTTGAATTCGTTTTTACAGTGATATACTTGCAATAGTGATATAATGTGGATTTATGCATATATTATACACACCATTTGAAGCTTTGCATATTATAATCTGCTTTTCTGCATACACCGGGTTGAGTCCTCTAACAATGTTTAAAGTTAAAGTGATATTAAACCCTCAGATTTTTTAACATAAAACAATACTGTAATGTGCGCCTTACTGTAATCCAAGGTAGTTTCCCTTCTCTTTGCTGCTCTTCCTTTTAAATCTGTATCTGTTCTCATGCTGGGCAGAACTTCTGTTTTGCAGCAGACTGCCTTGTCTCTGGAATGGCTACATGGTGTCTGTGTGTAAGTTTGCAACCTGAGCCAGCACTACAGGAAGAGGCACTCAGCTGCAAAGGGAAGTTCTCCCCAAGCATGAGAAGACATGAGGATTTAAAATGAAGAGCAGCAAAGAGAAGGGAAACTACCATGGATTACAGTAAGGCACACATTACAGTATTGGTTTATGTTAAAAAATCTGAGGGTTTAATGTCACTTTAATTAATAACTGTAGAAGCACAATTCTATTTATTTTATACCTGTCGAAGTTGCACTTCACAACTTGCAGCTCTGCTTCACCTTTCACCCAATCATCACAACATACTCTAAGAACTCCCTTAGTTAACTTTTTTTTGAAAAATAGATTGTCTTACGAAGAAGTGGTTTTAATTAAAGCCATCACTCACTAAGCAAAATCACTCATTAACTGCACAGCAGTGAGCTATGCAGGTTTATAAGGTTCTGCCATGAGGTATATAGTAAATATTCAAAATAATGAGGCAGGCCACAGTAATTTCATTAATGGGAAACATAGGAATCTGGTTCGGCTTCTGCTCCTCTGTTCTGGCACTAAATGTATTACATCTGTGAGGAATTAAAAATGTTTTATGAATGCATAAGTATTAAAAGAAGTAGCTTGTCACATAAAAAAAAAGCCAAACCCTTCAGCTGCATCTTTCATTTCATTCTTAAATACAAATGTTTCTTCATTATTGATAAATAGTTAAGAAAAATATGACTTTTTTGGGTGTGGGGGGCATTTCTTGTGCAAATAATCTGTTTTTCTTTTTTTTTTACGTGACTTTTATTACTTTGTTTTAAAACAAAAAAACAGACATAGGGATTGATTTACGAAAGGAAAAAGGTTGTTTACTTTGCAAGGGAAATTTGCAATGGAATTTTCTCCTAGCTTTTTTTTAGATTTGGATAGAGTAAAGGAGGATTGTCGAGTTTCTGATGGCATTATTGAATGTTCTGATTAAATTCTTCTTATGGGTGTTCATACATTAATCTACCAGTGTGTGTGCTTTATTGAATGAGATGAAGCTCTGCTGACTTCCATCACTCAATCATGTGCACGCAAAAATACTGTTTGCTCATGATTGGGTATTTTTTACGAAAAATAATTTTCACCACATTCACTAAGCTAAGGGAAGATTCCCTTGCAAAGTGAACAGGCTTTTTGCATTTAGTAAATCAACACCATAATATTAATTTGCCTTTGAGAAAGTTTATATTTTACATGTGAAATGAAATGTCGTAAAGACATATAATACAGAGAGTTGTATGCTGCAAGTGCCCTTGAAGTATCTCCTTTTAGGCTACATAAAACAGACACGGACAGTAAATGACCACTAGGTACAGGATAACAGCCTTACAACTGTGCATCATGAGGACCTCAAGAAATAGTCTATATACTGTAATTCCAAAACGAATACTCTAGCCACATTGGCAGCTACAATATTATACAACTGTAAGCCAGAGCAATTATAAATGACGTGTGATCCACTGATGAGATAATAAAGCCATAAAAAAGACAAATTCAGGGATTTGATTGTCTATGGTGTTTCTCCCTGCATCCACATGAACACATCTTTACAGCTTTAGTAATGTAAACGTAATAGAGATCATTTCTATGGTATACTGTGTGTCCAGCCAGGGGGATGCACATATAATCTTAATGCAAACTTGTGCAGGTTCACTTTAATGGTGGCCCCAAAAGCAGCAAATTCTCAACTTGTCTTCACTCTCATGGTGCTACATTCAGCCACCAGAGGTGAAAAAAAACCCAGTACATCTGGGCATGGGAGACTACGTCAACTGTTCATCAGAGCTGGCACATGGAAGCAGGGTAAAAGTTAAAGTTCAAAGTTTGACTATGAGGTTGCGCAGGGCTTCCTCTCTTTTTTTCTCTCCAGCAAGATGTATCATGGGGAATAAAAACATAGTGGAATGGATTTAGCAATTGCAATTCTTAAAAAAACTTTGTGAAGGAGAAAAGTGGGGGACAAACTGCTGCAAGTATTAAAGAGAACTCCAGGATTTTTTTTATTAACGCTTGCAGTGCAAGGGTTAAGTGCTTGTTTGTGTCTAGGTGCTAAAATAACAAAATTAGACATTGGAAGGACCAGTCTAAGAAGAAGCCAGCTCAGAGCTTTGGGTGAGCCTTTTTTTTTAACCTAGACACAAACGAGCACCCAACCCTTGCAGTGCAGGGGTTGCCCCTGGAGTTCTTCTTTAAGTGCAGGCACCTAGTAGTATGCAGGGCCCTTCTTACTGCCTGCACTTTCAGATTGGCCAGTGAGACTATCCCTCATAGTGATGAGCCAATAGGAATGATAGGGGAGCGGTTTAGCTGCAAGCTCTAACACTACTCAGAAGTGTCCAAATGATGCCTGTTAGAAATACATCCATATACAAACTATTCAAACAACTTAAAACATTAATATTCAGTGAACAGAAACTCTGCTTTGCTCCAGTCTGTACCATTAAACTCAGTTATGTCCTCCAGTGTCCCCGTGTTTCATGCAACACCGATAAGGTAGAGCAAGCCTGTCAATCACACCCAGCACATCAAATACACTCGTGGCAGTCATGTGTCACCGCTTTCTGCATATGTCAGAGGCCAGAAGAAGTGGTAAGAGATGGAAATGAGAGTTTCTTCCATTGACTTTTGAAGAAAAGCATAAATTTGCATAACGGCATTGTTTAGTCTGCTTACACAGTATGTTTTGTGGAAAGGAAGAATGCTTCTGAAACTGCCAATGAAGCAAATTATAAGGATACTACTATGTGTACAGTCTTGGAAACTGAGAGGTTCATGTTGAGTTTACAAGGGTTTTTTTAATACTCTCTATTCAAACTGGCTGCTGTTACAGTTTTATTATAATGTAAAAGTTCCAATGCAAAACTGACTTACCCAACACATTGAGGACTGCTGGTGACACTTCAGGAATGTCATTGATTTTTCTGCTGTTATGGAACCAATAAATCTCCACAGGTTCAGGGGGCCCAACAGCCTCACAGGTCAGATTGAACGGAGTGTTCCTAGAGACATTTAACTTCTCTGGCTGTCGAAGGAAATGCGGAAGTCCTAAATAAAAAGCAATAACATGATTTTATAATGCTAAAGTGTCAGTCCAGCTATATCTGATATTTTTGGTAAATGCAAGAGAAGCAATCAATCTAATATTAACAAAATACAAATGTTTCCCAGTACTCAACTGCATAAGCCAGTTATAGAATTCTAATTACAATCTCTTTCTAGCATTTGTTAAAAAAAGAAGTCTCAGTTTACATGTAGCTTGCGTACGACCATAGACCTCTCGTTTGATTGCACTATTACAATTGCACTTGGTGTCTAAAAGATTGCACTAGGTCTCTAAAAGCTCTTTACTTTCATCTTCAGTTGCAGCAATCCCACTGTTTTTTTTCTTCTTCTTATGTAGCGCTCACCCCCGAAGGAGCCGTTGGAATATGTCCGGTTCAGTTCATCATTACTAGTCTTCGGCTGGGTAAGTGGCTGCGTGTATGTGTGGGGCAGTTGCGGGGGAAGCGGAGTGCATGGTGCTGGAAGTTGCAGTGATGGTTGGTGGAAGGTGTATGCTGTGTAGGAATGTGCAGCAGCACCAGGCGTGGAATATAAATGTGTGATAAGGATGTATAGTCATCATCCAGAGGTGCAGAGATGGGCACATGTGAGTAGATGCATAGTCCTATACAACCGGCCCTTTGAGGGTAACCATACTGCTGATGCGGCCCCCGATGAATTTGAGTTTGCCACCCCTGGTCTAGGGGGTATGATCTTCACCCACTCCACTAGCATTAACCGCCCTTCTTCTAGTGCCCACAAAGCTGATGTCCACTCCAGTAATGCAATGCTTAATAACTTTTATTAAACATCTTCACTGGGGAGAGAGGGTATAGGGATCCTAGACATCCAGGGTGTAACAGACCTAGACTCCAGACTCACCATACTTGGTTAGCATCTCAGTGTAGATCCACTTGTGATACAGTGGATGGTAACTGAAGTAGCAGATGAGTATGGATGAGCACAAATCCTCAGCAGGAGAGATACCAGCCATGCCCCTAAAGTCCATTTAGTTCCAGATAACTTCAAGAGACATCTGGTTCTCCTCCTCTGGCATGTTGAAGGCCACAGGGAAACATTTCCCTCACACCAGCCTATACCCACCCCCAGGTCTCAGGCCTAGCCTGGGGGTGGCTGGACAGCATCCAGCCCTAATCCATGGCAAATCCCTCCAGTATATGTACCCTATCCCAGCATGCACCACTGGTTGACAGAAACCCAGTGATTGGCGTCTGTAGTGTACATACACTACAGTGCCTCTCATTGGCTGTCCCACAATATAACAGTCACACTCTGCCCGGGAAAGGTACAGTCAATGCCTGACACCTGGAATTAACCAGAGAAATGCCACTATAATCCAGCCAGGCTGACTACAGACCTGGCTACCACTAAATGTCTAGTAGCCACATCACAGAAGGTGATGGAGGCTAGAGTTATATCATGGAGAATGCAACACTGGAAGTGAGAACATGGGCACAAGTAGTGAGATTACAAGGTGGGTGGAAACAGATTACAGAATTAGGCAGGGAGATGTCACCATTATATTAGTCAAAAGATCATTCATGTTGTCTCTAAATTTAATTGAAGTATCACTTTTAGGTCTACTGTTAATAACATTTTCTCAGACCCTCTGCTGTTGCAGGTATTGCCTGAACACGGTCATACTGTCTGGTCCTTATTATGTTTTTACTGGTTTATTACAAGACTGCCATAACATTTTTATTTTTACTCAGAGTTGTATGACCTTACCTTCCACTTGAATGTAGATAGGATCTGATATTATTTCTTCATCCTCAATTCTTAATTTGCAGTTGTATGTGCCGTTATCAGACCGCAGCACACCTGTAATGCTTCAAGAAACAATGCATAAAATGTATTAACAGCTAATTAAGGAGCATTATGTAGTTACAGTATTTTAAATCAATTCAGTGCAGTTCTCAAACATATACTACTACAAACATTCTAAAATATAAAATGTCCAGATCTCTGGACAAATTTTAAAATGTCCAGAGCTCCAGATCACATGGTAGCAATACCGAAATTTACAAATGTTTGTGGATTATACATGAAACTTCAACTTCCAACTACAGCTCCCCTGATTCACTATTACTCACCTATGCAGTGATTCCCCCCACTGCTCCTGTCGCTATCTCAGCCCGCGCAAAATACCCGATGCTTCTGGGTATGGTGGTTCATGTGACATTGCTTGGGTCTAGCAGCAAAACTCAAGGCCTCAGCTAGTTTCTGACACCAGCTGACACTGGGTATTTTGGCACCGGCTGGGAAAGAGGAAGGAGCTTTAGGGGACTTCCATGAAGTTGAGCATCGGTGAGTGTTAAAAGACAATAGGCAAAGTGACAGTGTCACCTTAAGGCCTTAAGTGGTCATTAATAAACTTTACCTGAAGTCATGGCTTGCCGTAATATGTATCTGTATCTGCCAGACATGGGCTTTTCTGCCCTCTCTGCTCATACTAAATTTTAAAAGGTATATCTCTACTCTAAAATAACAAGACACTTCATTCATCACATATTTTTCTTTCAGCTAATAAATACAGTACATTACATTCACCTGTATGAAGATACCATAGAGGTCACCGCTGTGTCTTGGATTTCAAAAGACTGCACAGAGATTCGATCAGATTGGTGAATTGAATTCCCATCTTTCCACCACGTTATTTGCTCCCCATTGTCCAGATTAGGAACGACAATGGTACAATTGATCTTAACATCTTTGTGTTCTGAGAGAACAATATTCGGCACTGTAGGGTTAAATCTAATCCTTGGAGCTTGACGGGTCACTACCGTTTCTTTAAATTCTGGGGTTGGGGTTTGCAGTCCCTGACCTTCTCCCAGAACTTGAGTGTCTGCAGAAAGTAAAGAAAATGTGACTATTAGTACTGATAAATGATCATGCTTAAATAAACTTTGTATACTTTTTGGGGTGAGCAATATGCTAAGTAGTAAACTACATATGGCAAAAAATAAATCTGAGATGATGTGCCAGTGATATTTACATATGCATATGTATGAGGAGTGTATACCTATAGAAATACTTGACCCTCATAAACCATGCTCTAAAAGCCTAATGGCTATTCATAATGGCATTACACTAAGGCAAAAAAATAGACTTTACTGAAGTCCAAGCTCCTAAGTCTAGATACAGTAATAGAGCTTAGGATTTATTTTGCCCATCAAGCCTTTAGGTCCCTGGAAGCAAAGGCAACCCTACAGATCTAACACTAACAGTGACATGGCTTAGATAGAGTTAACATTGTGCATTCTACACCAAATGTAAAGTGTATTTTTGGAGTGGGAAATGATTATAAGCCCTGTTTGTTTTTAATCTATTTGTAGTTCTACTACAGATTCCCCTCCACCTACTGTCACTGTGACTATGGTTTCACCTGGCAAGAAGTGAGGGAAAATCTGCACTAAGGGCACAGGCAGCAATAAAAAGATGAGGAAGGTTCTAGTCTTCCCTACTAAAACAAGCTTATTTTTCCTGTCTATATTACTGTTGGAGATTTTTCCCTTATACCCTGGTGAAATTGTTGTTACCAGGACAGAACTGAGGGAAAATAAATCTAATGGATACCCAGGTAGGAACTGAAAAATATAACAGATTCCTCCACCCTAGCTGAACAGCATGGGTGGACGAATCTTACTCTGTAAGCTTTGTTGATTTGGCTGTAAACACCATTCGGACAGGGAATTTCCAACATGTTCCTTCGGCAAAAGTCGATCTAATGATCAACTTCTGTCGAGAGGATTTGAGTTTTAAATTCCATTTCAAAAACAATTATATTATGTATTCCTATTACATTGCTGATGTTATAACAGGATAGTATATGCTGGGACTTTACAACTTTAAAAACCAAATTCATCACATACAGTTCCTTGCAGGCATAATGATACTGAACAGTCAAGCGCTATTATAGGCAATCATATTGGACACCGTTATGGTCAGCTATAAGTAACTATCAGTGTTTGTGCTTCTCAGACTTGTACAAGTGCCCAAGATGTCTATTTGTTAGTAATGAGTATACAGCAAGCAATTCACTGTTACAGGGTAGGTCCTCGTTTCACTGCTGTTTCACCATAATCAGATGCTGACCTATGCACTGTAATATTAGTTTTACTTGCCCAACCAATGTGATGCTCAAGCAATGTCTCTGTGGCTCTGGAGAAATGCATCTTAGTCTATTGAGACTCTGCCACAAATATTGGTGGGTCCTAGACAGGGTGCCCAGATTGAGGCTCCAAAACCCCAATAGTTTTTGTGGTCCAAACTCATCTGCTTCAGTGGGAGCACTAAAGGGATATCTCTCCATAGTAAAGGATTATCTTTTTAGACATTTGTTACCAGAAACATTGTCCTCATTGGAATATTTCCCTCTAATTCTGTTATTATGACACTGAAAATTCTGGATTTTCCCTCACTTTCAGTCTTGGCGACAATTGCCTTCAGGACAAATAAACACAGTGAATCTCCTTAGTGGGCTCACAGACAGCATTAAAGACCTGACCAACATTCTTATCCCTCAACATTCTATCCAAAACTAAAATAAAATGCTTTAGCTTTAGATACACTTTGAGGCTTAAGAGCTGAGGTGTTCAAAAGCCAGCAAATACTTGAAATCCAAACAAAATAGGAATGGTCTTTCTGCATTTGGCACTTTTCCCAGATCTTTCTTTTATTATGTACTGCACATGTCTTCCAAAAGCCTAAAGGATATAATACAAGGCTCAATAGTACGTTTATTATCCGTTGTCATTAGTTAATATATAAAGCTAATACGAGAAAGAAGTAACTTGTTTGGTAAATTGAGACATGTCAGATGTGGCAGAAGGTGGATATTATCTATGTTTAAAACCTATTTCTTAAAGCGTATTTCCACTTTTGCAGCCAAATTGGGAAAACACCTTCTTTATATTTGTTACATGGTCCCATTCACATAGCATAACTTTTTTTAAAAAAAGCAACCGCTGCCAAAGTTTTGTACTTACTTATAAATTGTACCCAGCCTCCACATATGTAATGTGAAAGCATGCAAAGTCTCTTCTGCCAAAATACAGCTGCTTCTCACTTCAAGCATTTATTTATTTCTTAAGTACACTGTACGGCGCATGCGCTGTGCATTGTACTACCCTGTCCCCTTCCCAGTATCTGTAGGAAGTGAAGGGAAATCTCCCCATGGGACACAGAAGGCTAAGAAAACTTATCTGGTTATAACCCTCCCTTACGCTATTCAAAACTTAAAAAGAACGTTTTAGCTTTAGTTCTACTTTAAAGAAACACTAAGAAAGGTAAGGAATATTTGTATTAATTTTTCGGCTTGTTGTGTGAATATCGATTTTGAAAATAATCGTTAGCTGCAGCTCTAAATTGGACCACATAACAAATATATAGTGGGGGTTTCTGAAATTGGTTTGCAAAAGTAGAAATACACTTTAACACTTTAAAGGTGAAGTATGGGGTCCGGGCTTTTCCCTATAGTTCTTCTAAGGGTCACGGGAGAACACAAACTAGCGTTCTCCCATGACCCAAAGTTCAGTATACCTCGAGCTACAGCTTGTGGTATACGGAGACGCCGCAGCCGGAACGGATCTCAACAATACTGTCTGGATCCACCCAGCTGCGTGAGTGACAGCTGACTCTGCATATCTAGAGGCAGAGCCAGCTGTGCCCGCCCCCTCCCCCGACCATTCCGCCAGTCAGCGATGGAGGATCGGACAGAGGGGGGGGGGGAATCCCTGCAGGGAGACGTGAGTGACAGTCACGGCTCTCTGCAGGGATAGATCGAGAAGTGAGAGAGCGACGCTATGTGTTCGCTCACTTCCCGATCTACTGAGCCGACCTGTGACAGTTTCATTGTCACAGGTCGGCTCAGATTATGAGGCTGAGTGAAAATCACTCGCCTCATAATTCTCCTTTAACACTTTACAAGGCACATTTGCTTGGCTGTTTAACCTCTACTGCAGTGAAGAGGACTGCCTATATAATACAGCTGAAAACATACAAGCCATATTACTTAGAGTAAACACAAAAAAACCAAGTCTGCAATGGTCCAAAGGTCACATAGGCTAGTGCCTAAGGTGTAAAATTCCACAGGAAGCAGACCGCCCCTTCCTTTATATTACTTTCAAGTGGCGACTCGAGGCAATAAAATCATATCCGTTAAACTTTTTGCCACAGAACGCACTTATTCATTTTACACCAAACTGTAAAAGAATGGCATTAATATGTGTTCCTAAATCCAGCCTATGTAGTCAGCTAAGCTTGAACTGTATTTTACATGAACGTTTAATATAACTGAGTTTTTGTTTCCCAGTCAGTTAAGGAGCCTTATCAGGAACAGGTCATGTCACAAGGAACATGCAACTTATTTCAGAGCAAAGGTCTGTTTGTATACTTCCTTAAAGACGCAAGATCTCACAATTCCTCCTTCTGAGTAACAACACAAGAGAATAGCATTTTTATTACAGTTTCAGTATTCATACAGCATATGCAAGAAATTGAAACAGGATAAAACAATTATGCTACAGCTAATTGTTCACTTCCAGTCATGCTGCAGAAATGAATTACATATTGTACACTTACAGTATATGCCAGGGGTAGGCATGCAGCTGTGGTGAAACTACAAATCATGCCTATGTCTGTCAGAGCCTTGCAATGATTCATGGGATTTGTAGTTTCACTACAGCTGGAATGCTGAGGTTCCCTTCCCCTGATTTATTATTATGATTATTATTATAAAGGATTTATACCCCCAACAATTTACACAGCGCTTTACACAGCACACGCTACCTTTTCAAACATGAATGGTCAATAAATGTCCATTGTATATTTAGAATTGCAGAAGAGATACGCAACAAGAATTTACATTTTTGCATGGAGGTGGCAGCAAGAATTTAAATTTTTTTGCATGAAGATGGGCTTTAATGAAGGTGTCATGATTGCTATTATACCTTTGTTGGGTAAAAGTTTAAAGATACCTTAATTGGGGCCACCAGAGCTCTCGTCATATTGTGCACAGCATACTTACCCCCAGCCTACTTCTAATCCCCTTCCTGGTGCTCCCCTCCGCTGGAGATTACACAGGCTAAGGCTGGGTTCACACCTAGGCGTATCGTATATGCGTGTATGTTGCGCTTTTCGTGGCGCACGTTTTTACCGCGATTCGCGGTAAAAAAAACGCATATTTTCTAGGGCTACTTGGCTGTATCCCAATGGAAACGCGCGACAAAAATGCCCCAAAGAAGCTCCTGTACTTCTTTTGGCGTAGGACGTTTTGTAGTGCGTTCATACGGCCTGGAATATGCCCAGGTGTGAACCATACCCATAGGAAATAATGGGATTTCGGTGTTTGAGCGTTTTGCAGAGCGTTTGAACGCGCTACAAAACGCCCAGGTGTGAACCGGGCCTAAATGATGTCAACCCCTCCTTCACATGACAACACTCAAGCCTAGTGATTGTCCACTCATGTCAGAGCACTGCATCATGGGAAAAAGGTCACAAGCTCCCCCTTACCCAGAAGCCCAGGGTATTTTGCAGCAGCTCCAATAGAGCAACTAGATAGAGGGGCAATATAGAGAAGGTAAGTATAAGTGAGTGAGGGGTAGTTTTTAACCACTTGCTGACCAGGTGTTTACAGCCCCTTCCTGGCCAGGCCATTTTTCAGTATTCAGCGCTGCAGTACTTTGACTGACATTTATTCAGTTATACGCTGTACTGAAATTAATTTTATACCGTTTTTTGAGAACAGAGCTTTCTTTTGGTGGTATTTTATCACCACTGGGGTTTTTATTTTTTACTATATATAAAAAGTTCAGAAAATTTTGAAACAAAGCCTAAATTCCCTAT